AACATGACTGTGCCTTGTGTGGCTCTCCCTGAGAAGTGATTGCAGATCTTGGCTGTGCGGACCCCCTGCCATAGCTGCCCAGAGTGGCCACAGCATGGCTAGATGTTTTGTCTTGATTAGCTCTTAACTTCCTCCTGCCTTTGTCTCTGACACTGCTGCAGTCCAGCCCTACACTGTGGTTAAAAAAAAAAAAAGTCTCCCATCGGGAGTTCAAGGTCACTGGTGAGCATACTGGTCAACTCTTAGTCATTTGACATCGTTATAGATGGCTCGACACTGTACCTCAAACCTCAGATCTGATATTGGTGCTTTCTGTCTCTCTCCCTCTGTCTCTCTCTGTCTCTGTGTGTGTCTCTCACCCTCTCTGTCATTACTACCGCTTTATTCATAATTATCCAATTCTGTGCAGTTTAATGTATTTTATTTTACAATAAAAATGTTTAAAAAAAAAACCCCACTATAAGTGCAATGAAAAGACCAAGAAGAAACATTCACATTGTGAACAAAGATTGCATTCCTAAACAGAAATGCCCCCAGAAATTGCTCTAGAAGTAACAACCAACAGGAAGTACAGCAACTCCTGGAAGGCAAAGGTTCCGTGCTATAACCCCTTGAAAATAGTCAGGGCAAACAGCAGGACAATGGGATGAATTAGACCTGCTGAGGGCCACCCATCATTCTGTGTGTATGTGGGCTTTTGTTGTTCTCTTTTGGAGACAGGGTCTCTGGTAGCCAGGCAGATCTCCAACTCCAAGGCTCAACAGATCCTCCTGCCTCAGCGCTGCAAGTGGCCCCACTAGATGTGTGCGTTCTTATGGCTAGTCTTATACTGTCCTCTGTGTGTGGTCTTCCACCAGCCATCATGGAGAGACAGTCCTTCTCTGCCTCGGTTTGCCAGCATTGCATCAGCAGGAACAACCGTACAGTCGACTGACCTGGCTGTTGGGCAGAAGCCCCAGGATTGAGGGGCTTGAGTTTCTTATGAGGCCTCAAGCTGAATTTAACCCTAGTTGATGTGGGTCCAGAGGTTGGGTGTATCTACAGCCAGATGTCAGCTATCCTGGAAGCTGGCTCAGGCTACTATAGGCTATGAGAAACTAGGATTTTGAGCCAGCTCAGAGAACCCCATAGGTGCAGAGGACTGGGCTCTGGGGTCTTGGGGTGGGGGAACTCCTGTGATCTCACAGCTCTCACCTCCCCTGGAGTCTAGATGCCAGCTCTAAGCACTGTGAGTGTTTGGAGTCTGTTCTGGGCCTTGCACATGAATTCACGTGCAGTCCTGGGCTTCCATACGGCAGCATACATAGGGCTGTGCTGACTTGGCACCCATGACATAGCTAGCCTTCACAAGTGAGAGCCAGCCCTCCTTCCCTTGTATGCCTGGTGCTTCCCATTTTACTTCCAGTTCCTCCAGGTCACGGAACAGTGCGTTCAGCTCTCTTACTATGAGTGTGTGTGTGTGTGTGTGTGTGTGTGTGTGTGTGTGTGTGTGTGTGTGTGTGTAGCTGAGACCTGGCTAGAATAGCTCAGGCTGTCCTGGAGCTCATGCATATCCTCCTGCCTCAGTCTCTGGAGTACAGTATGCACCACCACATCACCACATTTGACTCCTCCTGTTTACTTTCATAGGAAGTTCCAAATCCTCAGTGCTCCCCTTTTTACTTAGCCTCCTTCAGTCTTGAAGCACCTTCAAGCCTGCTTTTCCCAGCTGCCATCACTCCAGCATTCCACCTTCCTGCTCTGAGAAGTCTGTTATGATTTTATTTCCCTTCTTGTGTGTGACTTTTCACCTTTCCTTTGGAGTCCACTTCACTTCTAGGAACACACATGCACGCACACACGCATGCACGTGTACGCACACACAGCCCTCCAAGGTCCAGCTAAACCCAGGGTATGGAAAGGAGGCAAGGCCTTCCTTAGTCACAGCCCTGGCTTTGCTGGGAACCACATGGGAAGCAGCCTTGCTCACATGAGTGAAATGGCATCTGGCTGTGTCAGATGTGGAAGACCAGGTCTCAGATGCCATCCTCTCGGCCTCTCCATTGCTGAGTTTTCCAGATGAAGAAATGAGTCCATGAGCCAGAGCTTAAGAGACTACAGTTCTTTGGGAGGCTGAGGCAGCACTTACGTTTCAAGTTCGAGGTCATCTCAAACTAACCTTCTGAACCTCCTGTCCCTACCTCCTAAGTCCTAGGATGTAGATATCTGTGTTGTTGGAGGTCAAACCCAGGGCCTTGTGAATGCTCAGCAAGCACCCTGCCAGCTGGGCTACCCAAAGTGACTTTTGTGGAAAGTAAATCTCTGGTTTGGTCCCCATTGTCCCTTAGACCTGGGGACCAAATGTGTCCCTGAGCCTGGCCCCCTCTGGGTTTTGCTGGTTGCACAGTATGGTGTCAAGTGAGTCTCCTCTTTATACCTGGAGGTGGCAAGTTAAAGAACAGTTGGGGTGGGGGTGGGGATGGGAGTGGGGGAGGCAAGGGGCTTCCTGCCAGCCAATCGGAAATAACTGCATAGGCTCTGGGCTCACATCATCTGCTCCCGCTAAGACAATCATCAACATAAAAGGCTAATTGTATTAATCACCAAGGCACCCATCCTGAGCCCCCCTCCCCTTGGAGAGAATTATGAATTGCCACTGCAGATGGCTCTACTGATTGAAAGCAGTACTCAGCGGGAAGAAGGGCCAGATCAGATTACATACCATTAATTAAAAACTTCCCCTGGCAAATGAGAGCTAGGGGATGCACACTGAGGGCCTGCCTGGTGGGTCTCTGTCCTCCTCAGACCCCTTGTCCCCACCCAGCCCCAGGGACTGTGATGGTGAACTGCTGAGAGCTGGAACGCCCAAGGCCAACTTTTTCCTCATCTAAACAGATGGCCTGCTGTCCCAGTAACGTCTCCAGAGGAGAGGCTAACCTTTGCTTACTTATTCAGTCCGACCTTCGATGCTCTTCAGCTTTAACCTAATTACTGATTCCTCATTTTTCTGGAAGGCTATCTCTTGCTCTAGTCCTTCTCTAAAGAAAGGCCACTAAAGGACTGTCAATGAAAATGGTTCCCAACTTTCCATCGAGCTACCCCCTTGCTCTTTTGGGTCCCTAAATTTGAGAGTCTCTTTGACCACCATGGCCAGCAGTTGAATGATCCAAGGGAGGTGAGAAAGCACTTTGGATAAACATGACAAAGTAGCCAGTGCTGGTCCAAACTTTGGGAGTCTGACACAGAGTAGTTTATTTTAGGCATATTTAAGCATAGCACAATTTGGTGAAAATTCTCCTGGTGATAATTAACTCAATCCCACGTGCATAATGAAACTTAAGACAAGACTACATTGAAACTCTTTGTAAAGTACATGTGACACTTTCCATAAAGATGAGTTCAATAGATTGACAAGTTCACAATAAGGGTCTTGGGGGTGGGTTTGGATTTGGTGTGGTCTAGCAGGCTACACAGACAGCGCAAATGTCACCAGGCTATTAACCACTTTCACTCCTGGCCTTCTGGGCAGATAAGAGGTTATGCATCCCTCCCTTTTAAGGAACAAGCCTGTGTGTTTAACATTCCTGGTTCCCTTAGTGCTTATCTGTGAGTACACGGACCTCACCTCTGTGCCTCCTACACCTAAATTCTAGGATTGCCAATGCTGTTTCAGAGTGGTGGGTGGAGACACGAACTCTGGCTACCGCCCTCTTCCCAGCCCCTGCATGGAAGCAAAGGCTTCTCAGCTGCTGTCATCTTGGCTCATTTGGGGATGCAAGTTCTGAATTTTCCTCTTCTTGATCAATTGCTGCCTCTTCTCCCTCCCCAGCCACCCAGCTTCAGTCATTCATTCATCAAACTTTTATTGAACACCCAATGTGTGCTTGGCTCTGGGGGCACAGAGATGATTTGTCAAGAGGCTTAAAAGCCTACTGCAGGAGCTGCCTGCCACGGCCCTCTCTGAGCCCCTGCCTCCTTTCCTCTGGTGGCTGTAGCTTGTCTGAGACCCCAGGGAGCTCTATTTTAGAAAATTCTAAGCTGGGAGCTGGAGAGACCTTAGGGATCTTTGCAATAGAGTCAAATGACCTTTGGCAAGTCAGTTATGCCCTGTTCACACACTTGTACACATATGAACACACACACACACACACACACACACACACACACACACACACGTCCCTGCTTATAAAAGGGTGCAAGCGGCGGGTGTAGGTGGCGTACACCTTTACTCCCAGCACTGGGGAGGCAGAGGCAGGCAGATCTCTGTGAGTTTGAGGCCAGCCTGGTGTACCGAGCAAGTTCCAGGACAGACTCCAAAACCACAGAGAAACCCTGTCTCAAAACAAACAAACAAAAGGTTCAAGAAGCCCTGGGAGTTGGAAATTGTGAAGATGGCTGAGAAGGGCTCAGCTTGGAGAGCTGTGGAGAGCACTGGGCACCAAAGATACTGCACAGTGCAGATGACAGATGCTGGGCCATGGACACAGCCACTGCAGCAGCCACAGGTCCATCCATCGCCTTGCCCTTGAAAGGCTTTGGCAGCCCCTCCCTCACCCAGCTCATCGGGAGACAAGTGCTTATCACTTACCTCGTTTTCTCTCTCTCTCTCTAAATGGATTTGGCTGCTGCATCTCAGGGTACCATGGTGATGGGTGCCATAGAGATGAGAACTGACTTGAATTGGCTTATCTTTTCATTCCAGGGTCTCTCCATAGCCCCCCCCCCCACAAAGTTCCTAGGTCAGTAGACCTCGGAGAGAAGGGGACAGGGCCCTGTAAGCTGACCCAGTGAAGAACAGCCAGAACCTGCTTTCTCTCCCTCCCTTCCCATCATCCCCGTTTCCCTCTTCTTCCCATTACCAACGGCAATTGTATTCAAACCCAATAATTACAGCAAATGCAACAATAATCATCATTTATTGGAGTTGTTCTACCAGCGTTTACCTCCCCCAAGCATCTTCTAACTCATTGTTGCCACAGCACTCTCTGTGGGAGGAGTGTGCCCATTTTACAGTGGCTGAAATCCAGACAGGGTCCCCGCCACCCCACAGCCTGCTATTAGAGGCAGAGTAGATGTACAGTAGCCTTTAACATCTAACAAAATCAATTCAACTCCCAGGGTCTTTTAGAGGCACTAAACCTCTAATCTCGATTTTCTGGGTCACTCTGTGGTCTCATTTAAAAGGACTTATTTAACAGCTTCTTTGGGGCCTGTGATGCTGACAGCCAGTCTGGAGAGGCTTCTGGCCCAGGTTATAGAATGAATGTAGCAAGTAGAGGTTTCCTGTGTCTATACTGAGGGGCCCAGGGTAGACCATCTGGTCCAGATCTCCCTAACTTTGCGAATCCAGGGGAAGGCTCCTCTGTGTGAGCTTGTCCCAGGGTAGGGACCTTCCTGAGCATCTGGGAAGTAAGAATGAAGTCTTTCTGGGAGATTGATTTCTTACTTCAGGAAACCCCAGTCTGATGGATCCCCAAACCATACCTAGAGCAAAGAAACCCCATGAGAAGCTCAGGCTGTGCTAAAGACTGGAGTCCCCCCCTTTCCTCAGTGGAAAAGTTTGTGGCTTCCTGAAGCTCCCTTATCAGAATGGCTATCTGGGCCCCAATTCCCCTTTCCCAAAGACAGACCCTGAGGCCCAGGACACCCACTGGGGTCCTGCTACTTGGCTTCTGCCTCCCTTCACTCTTGTCTAAAGAGATGGAGAAGAAGGGTTACAGCTGTGTCTGGGGGGGGGGCTGGGGAGGAGGGGAAGAATACACGTGGCATGAAAGAAAGAAGTGGATGACTTGGGGGAGGGGAAGGACCAGTAGGAAGTGTCCAAGGGACTGCGGGAGGGGTCTAGGAAGAGGGTCAACAAAAGCAAAGTGTGAATGAAAAGGACACAAGGAAACATACTTTGTGTGTAAAATCTTAAACATGGAAAGAGAGAAAAAGGGAAGGCAAAGAAAGCCTTGGAGAATTAACTGGGTGGATTTACTCCCAGAGTCCTCTGTCTATTAATGCAGAAGCCAGTCATGGCAGTGTACCTAAGTCACAGCTGTTTCATTGGCTGAAGTGGGAAGACTGGGTGTAATAAGGCCAGCCTGGGTGATGGCTCTCAGGAGCGAAATAAGGAAAGGAAAAGAAGCAACTGTTTCCTCAGGGATAGCATTGGTGCCTACTGCTAGAACAAGTTCCCGAGCCTCCCGACGCCCCAACACCAGGGAGGCCTCAAGACAGGCCACACAAGGCAAGCTGCCCACCTGCAGGCTGCCCTGGAAGTGTGGGGGCCGGGGACTGTGCAGGGTCACACGCTCACTTCTGTGTCCTCTGAGTTCACTTGGGATTCCTTCTGGGGTTTCACGTCTACCACCTTCTCCACCTTTGTGCTGCCCACAAGGATGGCCAGGCGCTGGGCTACAGTCTTGGTGTCGGGGAACAGGATAAAGTTGTAGATCAGCGAAGCCAGGACAGCGCCTGTGAGGGGTCCCACCCAGAAGATCTGAGGAGACAGAAGCAGGCGTGATCTCTCAGCAGCACAGGCTGGTTCCCGAACCCTGCCTGCTTCCCTTAGCACTGACTTGCCCCCAACCCCAGCCCCAGGGACTCCAACCCCAGGGGTGAGGGGGCCTTGCCTCCCCTGGAGGGTGCAGCCAAAGCTGAAGCTGGGGCTCCTGTCCTCTCCCACGGCTGCCTCTTCCTCTCACCTCTCCTGTTTTAGCCCTGACTATTGCTGTTTCTGTCTCTGCTTCTGTGTGGTCTATTTCTGTTTGTCTTTTTCTTTATTCAAGTTTGAAAATTGGTCCAGCTGGAGAAAGTGAAGAAGGAAACAGCCGGAACATTAAGCCTTGGCCAAGGCTGCAGCTTCTGCCCTGGCCCATTTCTTGTGAGTCCCTGGATACTGCGGGATGTCAGAGCTGAAAGACAAGCCAGGCCGCTCGCCTCAGCTTCACTCCTGGGTGGTCTAAATGACCTGGTGACAAGAGCTCGATGATTACATTCCATGTGAATTTCCTAATGGTAAAACCTATAGCTCTTCCTCCTGCTTAGCCTCTTGCAGCCCCAAGCCAACCAGTGGAGGGACTCACCCAGTGGACTGCGAACTTCCCAACAATGACGGCAGGACCGAAGGAGCGAGCTGGGTTCATGGAGCAGCCGGTGAAGTAAATCTGGGGAAGACATTCAGGGCCAAATATGAGGAGGTTTGAGGCAGCCTGAGGGAGGACATTCCCCTCTGCCCTGGCTCAGACGCCACCCCCTTCACTAGCTCCATATTGCAGGGTACTACCCCAGGCCAAAGGCATGAAGGGCTCAGGAAGAGACACTTCCTGGCCTTCTCCAGAGAGGGCTCCAGTGTGTGCACAGCATGCTGTCCTTCTTTGTCCCTTACCCCAATGAGGTGACCCAGAGCCACGGAGGTCCCAATCATGGCAGCTGGGGAGCCCAGGGTCTGCCGACTGTCCGTGGAGGCAAACACACAGAGCACCAGCTGCAGCGTCAGGATTAACTCCACGGCCACGGCCTGGCCGGTTGAAGTGCTGTTGTGGACCTTGGCAGAGAGGAGTATGCCAGAGTGGGCATGGGCTCCAACCGTGGGACAGTGAGATTCCCTAGGCCTAGTCTTCTCTACTGTGAGGGTGGCACTCACAGTATCAGAACCTAAGGTCTGTGCAGTTGGCTCCCACTCTGCCATAGCGCGAGGCCTGTGGTTCAGGGGTGACAGGGAGGTAAGGAACAGGAAAGCCTGAGGACAGAATGGAGTAGCCTGTAGCGGTAGTAGAAGCACGTGGAACAAAGACTAGGTAGAGGGGAAGGAAGCAGGCCCCAGGGACCTGGGAAAACAGGAGAGCAGAGGACACAAGCCACTGCGAGTTAAAGTGTGGGTAGGGCCGCTCGCTCTCCCTCAGTTCCAGCCCTGCCCGCTGTATCATACCTTGGCTGCCTGGTCCTCCTGGCCCCTGCCCCCCCACCCCACCCCCACCTCTCTGTTGCCTTTCTCGGTCCTGTGTATGCATCACACCACATTCCATTCCTATCCTGCCTAGATGAATGCATAAGTCCCTTCCTCTGGAATCCAGGGACCTGCTCGGAGCACCTAAGGAGTGCAAGGCTGCATTATTCCCCGCTCCGTGCCCTTGCTCCTGTCTGGCCTCCCTCCCTGACCACCTGGTTTCCTCCCACGCCCTATCACCTGCCATGAGCCCAGGCCTCTTGGCACCTACCACGTTGACTCCAAGGGTTTCTCGGACACCTCCTGGAGTTACCCCGTAAAGAAGAGCGGCCCCCACGGTGGCCCCTGCCAACTGGGCGGCTATATAGGCCATAGCCCGAGGCAGAGAGATATGGGATCCCACGAGATAGGCCAGTGTCACAGCAGGGTTGGCGTGGGCCCCACTGGTCTTCCAGGAGATCTGCACAGCTGTGGCTGTGGCCAGGTTGAAGGTGATGGCAATCTGCAGTACAGAAGGAAGAGCCACAGGCCAGGGTAGGACAGAGCCCACCCCAAAGAACACGTATAGCCCTGTGGCCAGGAACTCAGCAAACAGCGCCTTGCTGATGGCGGTCCAGAGCCTGCCAGCCAGTAGGTAAGCTCTACAACACAGCCCTGGCTCCATGTCTTGTCACCTTGTCCTTCAGGTCTGCTGTTCCTGCTCCTCTCTGACTCCCTATGTTCCCTCGGGTCCCTTGTCCCCTGCCTGACTCTACTGGCCTGGCTTTCTGTGGTGGCCTCCCCAGTCCCTCCAGAACACCACTGTCCTCAGGAGCAAGCTGCTCAGGCTGATGGGGGCCTGCTGACAGCATTATGCGTGTCTGGGGGTGGGAGGTACAGAGGGCAGTGCCCATGTGCCTGCCCCACCTGGGGCTCACCTGACAGGGGGAGGGGCTGGCCAGCAAGGGAGTAACTCTGGGCACTGAGCTGGAAACTCCCAGGACAGCCAAACCCTGGCTGCCAAAAGAAGTCTAGCCTGAGACCTAGAGACTTGGGATGGACATGAGGTCCCCAGAATCAGCTCAGAGACAGCAGGATCTGAAAACCCCAAGTCCCAGGCCTGCTTCAGGGTCCCCTGTGTCGTAATCATCCAGTCCTTTCCTCCGAAGAAGTGGGGTGTATTCTGTACCCCATAAACCTAGGTGTGGAGTTAAGTTCCTTCCACCATTCCCACCTAAAACCACTTCCATGTTACAGATGCAGAGTCAGTTTTTCTGAGGATGCGGCCCTGGGTGTGCCGAAGGGAACATGGAGTTTTCCACACAGTCATGTGGCCCTGAGCAGCTGTACTGTCTCCTGGTGGGAATTCCCCTCACTTCCTACCTCCTGTCTTTTCTCGCTCCCTCCATAACCTGACTTCTACCTGTCTACCTCTTAGAGCCCCCCGGAACCCTGTGATTTATTAGGTCAGATGGATGTCTACTTTTGTGACTAAGCTGGTCCTGAAGTATCACCCATGCCTAGACTTTGTTCCCCAGCAGCATAAAAAGGCATTTTCTCAACCAAAGGTGCTCCCTCTGTAGAACTGTTCAAACAATACCCTTGCCCTGCCCTGTCCTGCCCTGGTCTGTGGCTGCACCACAGACACCCCTGGTTATCCTCAGGCTCCTCAAACAGTCTACCTCAAATCCATCCATCTCCTCCTTCCACTTTTCTTTGCTCTAGTCAGTTTGGTGGCATCTAGGAACTGTCCTTGACCTCTTCCCCATACAGTTATCTCGCCCTGCTGGTATTGAACCTGCCTGTATCTGGGCTGTGCCCTCCATCTGCTGCCCTGTAGCCCTTAGCCGGTCCATGTCCTCGCTTTGCCCTAGTCAGTTCTGCACTCTACAGAATGGTGTTGCAGAAGTGCAGCAATCATCCGGCTGCCGCCCTGCTGAAGTCTCTGGTAGGCCTCTCTCACCTTCTTATGGAGCTCCCAGCCCAAGTGGCAAGGTACTTTGGGACCCCATTCTTCCAGCCTCCCTCACCCTTCTTCCTTTGCCCTCTGACAGACATCCTGGGGTGAGCCTTCTGCCCATCTCTGAGACTCTCTCCCTCATCACTGTCTTCACCTGGGTAACCCATTCCCGAGGTCAGCTTCCAGTGCCACCTGCTTCTGTCCTGGGTAAGGACATCTCTGTGCGTTGTCATCATACCTAGGCATTTTCATGTACAAATCAGCACACTGTATCGCTACACTCCCCAACAAGGTGATAAGCCCTTAGGGGAGGAATCCCATTTTGTTCATTCCTATATATAGTGTCGTACATGGAGACTGGCTACACTAGATACTCAATAATGAGAGCAGGTGACTGTCATCCGGCTTCCTTTGGGTCTGCTGTTCCTATGGCTGCCCTCCTGCCCCCTCATAGGACTGCACCGCCTGACATCCTCAAAGGAGCTATCCAGTTCTGGCCACAGGCGCTACCCTCCCCCATCTCGGCCCCAGGCAAACCCTCCCCTCCCCCTTCTGTTCTTCCAGCTGTCCTGGCTTTCCCTCGCTCTCCTCAGAGGAACCCTTGGTTTCTCACTGGGCACAGCGTGCTCTTGCCAATGCCCCGCTGCTGGTCCCCACCCTCTCTCTCCACCGCTCTGCTTGCATTCCCACCCACCTCTCCGCCTGGTCTGTGCTGCCAGGCCCAGCTGGTGGGACTGGACGCTGTGCTGGCACAGCTGTAATGGCAGGTCTCTGTCACATCTGTGCTCTCATGGCCCCCTCCCCAGCTTCTTGTTGAATGCTCCCTGATAATCAGGAGTGGTGAGATATGACAGCTTGGGTCAGTTCCATCCTCATTTATGTTGGACACCCTGGACCCCCAGGCTGAACCTTCTGGGACCAGGGGAGTGAAGCTCTTCTCAGTAACCCTCCTGCTGTTTCCCTGGCCCCAGAAGATTCTCTTCCCCTTTTGGTTTGTTCCTTTATTTAAGACAGGGTTTCTCTGTGTAGCCATGGCTATCCTGGAACTCACTCTGTAGACCAGGCTGGCCTCAAACTCACAGAGATCCATCTGCCTCTGCCTCTCAAAGACTGGGATTAACAGTCTCTCCCATTCTTAAAAAATTACTTTTTAACACTTTTATTTTTATGGTGTGTCTACTTCAATAGTTCTCAAACGCGGTTCCCCTGTGAGGCCTTCCCTGGTGTTCCTCCCCAGCATAATCAGAGTGAGCGATGGGGAGAAGGTAGGCTTGAGCAACAAATGAGGGTGGCTGAGGGCACCTCAGCGTACCTCAGAGGTCTGCTTTCCGGCCGTCTCCTAGGTTGGGCCTAGAGGAAGGATGGCCATTAACCAGTCCCCATTTTCCGACCTAGGCTGGTTTGGGATGTGTACTAACAGCAGTGATGCCAGTGTCGAGAGCTTTTAAAGACAAAAAGAAGTTTGTTGAATATCGCTTCGTGGACTATGCTGTGACCAACTGCTTGGCTTCTGGGATCTCAGAACCTTCTTTTGAATGGGTGTTGGTCATATGACTGCATGTGTTGGGAGAAGTTTCTGCAGCCCTCTCAGAAACTGCCTGTAGTCAGAAATGCTATCATTTCACACTCAGCCACTGCTGGGGAACGGCGGTGGATATTAGCCACACAGAGAAGGGCTTGCTTGCTGTGGCGGGTCAGGGTCAAGTGCCACCTGCAGCCCTGCTCTAAGTGCAGTGGCAGAACTTCTTTCCCCAGATCATATAGGACAGACAGACCTCCTTGGATCCTACTCAGCCTGGGGCAAGGTCTTTCACCCCCTGCAGGCAGGCAGGCATGCAGGCAGGCATCGCCCAGCTCCTGTTTTTCCTGCCCTAGCCAGTACCTTCCTGGGCCCAAACAGTCCAGGACTCTGGTGCCAATCTTTGAGCTCACTCATGCCCCACACCTGGCTGCACTGGAGCCTTCTGAGGCCCAGAGGTGAGGCCAGCAAGGCAGCCTCTGTGTCACCTCCCTGACTCTGACCAAACACTGGCAGGCTGCCAGGTTGCATAGATGTTCTAGTTCATTCCTGACAGAGGAGGGGGCTGAACTGAGAAGAGCTGCAATAGGATCCTCCCCCAAATCCTTCCTCCTGCCCATCTACCTGAACTTCTGCCCCCTACTGGCCACTTTTAGCTCTAGCCCTAGTCCTCTCCCATCTATCACAGCGCCTTGTCTATCCACCCCGATGGAAACTGGCAGCTTCTGGAGGGAGGAATGGCCTGCCGAGGAGGGAGAGCCCTCAGTCAGAGAACATGGGCTCTTTGTACATCCCATCTTCAGTCAAAGAAGTGTGTCAGACAGCAGACAGGGCTTGTGTGTGCTTGGGTATGACTTCAGGCAGGTGTGCTGCACAGTATAAGGAGAATACCTGGATTTTTGAGAGTGAGTAGTGGCCAGGGTGGGGGTGGGGGCGCCATGACTGCCTCTGCACACCTGCAATGAGATGCCCGCGCGGAGAGAAAGGGAACACACAGGGTAGATATAGCCTCCCTAAGCAGAGCTGAAGGTCAGTGCCACACCAAGGAGCTCCAGAGATGTACAGGATTAGTGTGTGTGTGTGTGTGTGTGTGTGTGTGCGCGCGCGCGCGCGTGCGTGTGCTCGAGCTGAGCATGGCTTTGTCAGTTCCTACATGATCACATATAGGTGCACAGTGCCCCCTGCTGGCCAAACAGCCTGACCACAGCAACCTGCCAGCCCAAAGCCATAGCCGGATCGTTGCCCAACAGCAGGACGCTGCAGAGCAGTAACTCCCTTTGCCTACATGCCCCACCCAAGCTGAGGGTCTGTCTCTTGTAGACCCCCTGTTCACCGTCACATGACCCTTCAGGTCCATTAGAGAGGGGGGTGCAAATTAGTTCTGAAAGCTGAACTGAGGTTCTGTTGTCCTCTGCACCTCTTCCTGGTTAGTGAGGTGAGTGGGCTGCTGAGGGGCTGCTCCCTGGTGGCTTCAGGTTCCTGAGGTACTCTCTTTGTGCTCTTGAGCAGCCTCCTCTCTGCCTGGCTCCAGAGTCCAACCCAGAAAAGAAGTGATGAGTATCGATATGATGGGCGAGTCTGCCCCCTGCTGGCCCAAGTCGACATTTGCAGTCAGCACCCTTACTTGCAGGAATTGGGAAATCTAAGGCAAGATGTGGTATGTGTGGGGGTAGGTTCCCCCCCCCTCCCGCCGCCATTGCTTGCTGTTCATGGACGCCTGTGGGGCAGGCAGGTCTGGGTGCAATGGTCTTCACTGCCTTTCAGACCCCAGACTGTTTTGGGTGTAGGCTGCCCCTGGCCTGGGTCTGTAGCTCCTTCCCGCTCCGCGGCCTCCCACCCTGCTGAAGCAAAGGTGAGGACCAGGGGAGAGGCTCTGCCGAGGAGCAGCTGACTCAGGCAGCGTCTGGAGAGCAGATGTTCCTGCTCTCCTGTCCTTTCTAGTGTCTAGTCTCCATGGTCTCACTTGCTCCTCACAGCAATCCATTGGGCAGGTAAATACATCCCAACTTATGGGCTCATCATTCCAGTTGCAGCAAGATTTGAATAGGGGCTGGGGGCCAGCACCTGGTGGGCAGAGGCAGGTTCAAGGCTAGTCTGGTCTACAAAGTGAGTTCCAGGGCAGCCCAGGGTTACACAGAGAGACCCTGTCTCAAAAAACAAAGCAAAACAAAAACAAACAAACAAACAAGATTTGGATGTAAGTAGCCGTATAACTATAACTCTGGGCTATGCTTTTTTTTTTTTTTTAATTTTTTCAAGACAGGGTTTCTCTGTGTAGACCAGGCTGGCCTTGAGCTCACAGAGCTCCATCTGCCTCTGCCTCCTGAATGCTGGGGTTAAAGGGGTGCACCACCACTGCCCAGCTGCTCATGTGTCTCCTCACAGAGAGGTGGTCTGATTTGTACCAAACCCTTCCCACCCTTACCTCATCTGGTTCTCCTCACTACATTGTGAGGAAGTGTTTTGATACATTTTACAGGTTAACAATGGAGGCTCAGGAGTTTCCCTAGTGTCAGTGACAACTGGACAAGCAGGCAAGGACAGGAGGGGAGGAGGGTGTGACAGGACCCCCTCCCCGCCCCACCAAAGGGCAAAGGCAGAAGAGAGGAGAGCTGACAGGCAGCTGGTGGGGAGATGCTGCTCTGCACTATGAGGGTGCGGTTGACCTCTAACACAGGCTCCCAGCACGCCAGCTTTCAGGACGCGGGGGTCCCAGAAAAGGAAGGACTGAGGTCTGCTCACCCCTTTGGAATCTCAAGGGGCTGTTGTTGGCTCACTCCCTGGCCCTGCCTGGCACACCCAGGCCCTCCTCAAGTAGCAGGGACTTAACACAGCTGAAGGGATGGGTGGAAGGGACATGTGACCTGGCCCTCTCCTGGTCTCTTGTTCAGTTTCTGTATTTTTCTGTTTTCTGTATTTGGTCTCTCCACCCTCCAGCTCTTGATCCTCTCCGCCTCCTTTAACCTCAGTTTCCTTTTCTTTCTGGAGGACTTGTCTTGAGTTCTTTATACCCTCTGATGAGCACGTATGATGCTGTGGCATCACAAAGGGGAGACATGACTGGCTGCTGTCTCTAGAGGTTCTGGAGGGTGACCACAGCAGAATATGAAGATGGTTTATTGGGAAACAAAAGTGCCCAACCCAAATACCAGCAGACCCCACCCCATCCTTGATGAAAAATAAATACGATGGTATTCAATGCACCATCTGTTCCTCTGCTTGAGCTCTGGGGCAGTGTGTGCTCTGCCCACCTGAGGGCTGGCTTGGGCACATGAGAGGCTGGGTTGGATGACATAAGCAGGCTGCTTCCACCCTTTTCTGGTATGGTCCTGGGCAGTCTGTGAGCTTGGCACTGCGTTCACAATCCCTGAGGTCTGACCTGTGGCATTCATTCTGTGGTTCCGGAAGAGACCCTGTCCCTGTCAGACTCTAGCCCCTGGCCCCCACCCAAGTGTCCCATTGTGAGCTTCTGCTTCCATCTCTATCTTCAGCATGGGTCCAGTGCCTCTTCCCCCCCAAAGGACTGTTGGAGAAAGATGCTCTGATGTCTGATTTTCTTCTTGTTCTCCAGCAGTTCAGGGACTGAGGGGCTGGCCCCTGCCTGGTGCTGGTCAGTGCGCTGTCAGCTCTATGGACTTCTTGCGCTCCTCCCGATGCTCTTCCCAGTCCTCCTCTGGCTCATATGTGCCTTTGACGACAGCCATTCGGTCACTCAGGCTCAGGGAGGAGGGGAACAGCAAATAGAAGTAGAGGATGGCAGCCAGGATGGCCCCCACAATCGGACCCACCCAGAAGACCTGTGAAGATAGGGTTAAAGTCAGAAGCTGAGGCCCAGGACTCACTGCCTTCCTCATCAGAACACATGGACCCTGAAAGAAAGTGGGCATGAAGACTTCCAGGTCTCCAGAGGGAAGGATAGATGTCTTCCCATCTTGGGGCCTGATACTGTCAGCCAGTTCTTTTTTTAATGACAAAGTCATGGATCACAGACACACACAGCCTTCAAGGAGGTGGGCAGAGCCCAGAACAAACAGGCTTCCTAATCCCACTCTATAGAGAGGCAAGTGAGCCTTCTGAGGAGACACAGAGCCCCCGGCCCCCAGCCCCCGGCTCTAGGCTCCCCTGCTGAAGCCCCAGCAAGGCTCTGCCACCAGTTTTGGCTCTCCAAGCCTGTCTGACATGTGGACACAACACTGTCCAGAGGGACAGTTCCAGAAGGACACACTCCCAATATCTCCACCAGGACAGACAAATACAACATCGGAGGACAGATAACACTCATGCCCGCTCACTTCTAGAGAAGTGTTGACACCCCCTTGCTCTGGCTGCATCTCAGCCCCTTCTCCTTCTCCTTCTCCCAAGTTCAGGGCCCACAACATGCAGAGAGTCCGGAAGGGACTGGGCTTCCGGTTCAGTCCACTGCTGTGTTTCCAGCACTTGTTAGGAAGCCTTGGGAAGGCCCACACTCACCCAGTGAGAGGGGCTGAACCGATCCATGACCACCGCTGGGCCGAAAGAGCGGGCTGGGTTCATAGAGCAGCCGGTGAAGTAGATCTGGGCAGATGGGGTCACAGTGAGGAGGGCACCCCCTTCCCCTCCCACAGAATTCTGACTCTCTCAGGATCACACAGTGCAAGGACCGCCCACATCTCAAAGTCAGGCTTCCCAGCTCCTAGGCTGTCCATGCAGCCCGGCCGTCCTCGAACCATGTACTCCCGACAGTGCCCTCTTCCCTATTTCGCCTCTACTTCCACTTATTCACATTGTTTCTCAGCCCAGAGAGGATTCTTTGGGGGCAGGGGGCAAACCTACGGTCCAGTGGGGCTACAGCCCAGAAGCCCCAAGACCAGGCCTTATCCTCTGCCAGGTCTCCTTCTCAGGAGACGCTGTCCTAGGGCTCTACTATTCATTCTGAGTGACTTCTCTCCATGACACCCAGCTGGTGTCAGTACTACTCACCCCCACAAGATGACCCAGTGTGACAGACAGGCCGATGGACAAAGCTGGGGAGCCCACCGGGCTGGTGCGGCGGGAGTCGGTGGACGAGAAGATGCAGAGTGCCAGCTGGAAGGTCAAGATCAGCTCTACCACCATGGCCTTGCCTGGCGTTGTGCTGTTGCTGAGCTACGAGGGAAAGCTGGATTAGGACTCTTCTGCCTTCAGGTTCTGTGACGGAGCTAGAGGAGTGAGTCTCTGGCCTTCAAGGACACCTAGAGCCTGAGCTCTTGGAAGCCAGGCCCTGTGCATGAACCAGACAGCCATTTGTTGGAGAGACTGTGTGTACTTCAGTATGCACAGGCTTGAAGCTCAGGCCTGTAGCCAGAGGGTAGGGTGTCAGCGAGTTTTCCTGGGTGCCATCATGTCAACGGCTCTGCCCAATCCCCAGCCCCCACAAGCTGGCATTTACCCTCCCTCCTGTGGGCAGCTGCCCAGTTTGCCTACTGCAAACAGCCCCTGGCCTCCTATCTGTGCCTGACCCGCTGCTGGTGCCAACCTCAAACCCGTCTCTCCAGTGTGGCTGACTCACGGCTTGACAATGGCCGAGAAAATCCTCCTCTGTGTTTGATTAATGAACCCAGTTCACATGGGACAGGGGGCTGAATCTAGGACTGCAAAAATGGGGAGACAGCAGGGGGCAGGAGCGGGGGGGGGGTTACAAAAGGGGGAGCTGGTATTGGGAAGTGTCACGTCATAGCTTCTAAGTGTAATCCCTTGTAACACTGGCTGTGCTATGACTGCCTCTATGTCATGGCTAATAAACTGGAAGCCCAGGCACAGCAGGGTTACTACACACCACGATTGCTATCCATGGCTCTTTGATAGGTTCATTAAAAGTACATGAGCAAGGAGATGACAAGAAAGAACTCATAGGTGAGCCTAGAAGCTGAAGGGATGTTTCAGCAGCCATGGGGAGCAAGGCCAAGTGGAGCAGTAGAAGAGGAGGGGGCAGATGAAGTACAATGTGAGGAGAAGCTGGGACAGGAGCACACAGGTTGGCCGGGAGGATGGTAGGCCTGCTTTTCCTGGTAAAGTGCACCGGCCTTTTGGTCGTACCCATTCTGAAGATGGAGGAGCATGGAGGGTCTGGCCTTGAATGTTCCCAGGGTCTCTGCCCACCCCTCACAGTCTGGTGGGCACTCACCGCATTGACGGCCAGGTTGCCCCGGGCATTGTTTGGCGCCAACCAGTAGAGGAGTCCTGCCCCAGCAATGGCGCCCACCAGCTGGGCTGCCACGTAGAAGACAGCTCGGAGCAGCGAGATCTGGTTGCCTACTAAGAGGGCCAGAGTAATGGCCGGATTGATGTGGCCACCGCTCACAGGTCCCAGGGCTTGAGCCAGGGTACCTATGGCCAGGCCAAAGGCGATGGAGATCTGCAAAATGGAGGGCAACGCCGAGGGCCACTTGAGTGCCGAGCCCAGGCCAAAGAAGACGAAGATGAGGGTGGCCAGGAACTCCGCGAACACGGCCTTGAAGAAGGCCACTGAGCACACCTCCTTCTTCATGGTGGCCTTGGGGCCCCGGTGGCAGTGGCAGCGTCGCACGGAGGCCGTCGGGGCGGCGCTGGCAGCTGCGGGCGGCTGGCTGCGGGGCTCTGCGCGCGGTGCGTGTGGGGCGCCCACTCCGTGGCAGGCGGCCTGGCGCGGCCCCGGCAGGGGTGCGCTATATAGAGGGCGCGCGCCCCGCGGCGGGCAGAGCGCGGGGGGGCCGGGGGCGGCACCCGGGCCCAGGGGCCAGCGCAGCGCGCAGGGAGCGAGCCTGGCGGGCGCGCGCTCGCCGCCCCCGGCCCCGCGCGCCCCCGACCCCCCACCCGCACAGCGGCGGACCCGCCCGGGCCACGTGACCCACGCGGCCGTGTAGACCGGCCCCGAGGTCTGGGTCGCGCGCATTGTACGCTCCGCGCTGCTCCCGCGCCCTCCTGGCCGACGTGCGTTCCCGGGCTCCCCGGCTAGGCTGCCGCCTCCGGTCGCACAGAGCTCTGGAAGTTCCTCCGGCTGGCCTTCACCTGAGTCCCGGGACGGCTGACGGTCTTCCCCTTTTCTGCTCCTGCTCCTCGGGCTTTTGGTCCAGCTCCTTTTCCTCGCGCGACCGGAGCATCCTGACCCGGCTTCACCCACGGCCGGGCCAGAGTGATGCGATTCTCTGAGGACAGGGCCTCTTAGTCCCTATCCGCCCGTGGCAGGGGCGGTCCAGCGATCGTGGGCCTCTCCCCGGTCCAGCCCGGCGTGAGCGGGGGCGTTGGACAGGGAAGACAGTGCCAGCCTGCCCTGCGCTTGGCAATCCTCGACGCCACGTGTGGCAGTGCCGGCTCTAGGAGACATTCTCCGTGGCAGCCCTTGGGGGCCCTGGAGCGGTGACCGACTTGGGTTTAGAAAAGAGGCCCCAAGACTGGGGTCAGAGTGAAGGGTCTCTCTGTTTCCGACCCAGAAGTCCCTCACTTTAGATCTCCTGCTTTCTTCTCTTTCCTCCTCAACCAGCCACCGTGGGTCCATTTAAACCCTCACTTAGTTTTGGTCGCTCTCCAAGTGGCTGTCTGCTTCTTATCCCTGTTGGTCTTTCATCCATCGTGGCAGTCTCAGTCTCTCTCTCTCTCTCTCTCTCTCTCTCTCTCTCTCTCTCTCTCTCTCTCTCTCTGCTCGTTCGTTCATCTCTGTCCCCCTCTCCACTAGTATGTTCACTGTTGTTTCTTTTCCTCTAACACTTTTTGTCTTCTAAGTCTTCATCTTTCTGCCCGTCGTCTCTCTGACTCGGTTTCTGCTTTTTTCTTCCTTTCTTTTACAGTCAACCTGCCTATTATTGTTTCTGAGTAGTCTCTAATTCACCGGTTTTTTTAGTCTCTTTTAATCTGTGGGACTTTGTTTCTGCCTGTCTCTATCCCATTTGCCTACTTCTGACTCTCATACAATTTGTCTTTCTGGCTCCCACTCCCACCCCCCATCAAGTCCTTCCACTCTTGGAGTGGGCAACACATTTTCTAGTTCCCAACTCCCTCTTGTTCTTGTCTCTTCCCTCTGGGCTTCCAGACCTCCTTGCTGCTCTGAGCCCTCTCCAGGTTTCATATGTGTGGAAGGAGGCTGGAGGGCTTTCCCAGAGCTTGGGGGCAGGGCAAGGACCCACCCTCAGGATCCCTGGAGAGAAACTGCACCCCTCTGCCCCCACATTCAAGCTTGAGCACTTTGCACTGTGCTGGCCATAGAGCAAGGCTCTTCCCATGCCATGGTCCATTTTAGAAGCCTCCTGGCCTCCTAGGGCAATTCAGTGCTAGGGTGTCTCAGAGGATAAGATACGTGTGCCCAGCAGGGCATGAGAGGAGGCGCCTATAGAAAGGCAAGAACCTAGAGGAGGGAGGGACTCCCGGCCAGGTGGCAGCTGAGAGGCCAAAGAAAACAGGGTCCAAAGAAACCCCGCTATTGTTCCCCACGCTGCCTGGCATTTCCTGCTGAGCGACTCCTCCCCAACGGCAGTCTGGTAGACTGTTCTTTTCTCTGTGGGGTTGTGAGGCCAAGCCCCCAGCAGGGCACAGCAGCTATAATCAGGATTTTCTTCAGGGCTTGGGGTTCAGTCTGGAGAATGGCCATGATCACCTCAGAGACCTTGAGGCCAGACACCCACCTTCCTTTCTGCTCACTTAATTTGCCTTCATTTTCTCTGTCCAGGCACTGTCTTCCTGAATCCATAGGTCTCACAATCTATTTTCCTAGAGTGGGCAGGACTCAAGTGCTCCTGGAGATGGACTCATCAAAGGAAGTTCTTGCCTGAAAATTTGAGCCTTCTCTTTCCCAGCTAACAAAGGAAATTAGAAAGGCCAAGAACTTGTTCTTTCTGGGAATACAACTCAGTGGTAGAGCCCTTGCCTAGCATATGTAGAGCCCTAAGTTCAATTCCCAGCGCTGGGGAGAAAACAGGCTAGTTTGGGTCAGGCATGATAGCTCATGCCTTTTGGGAGGCAGAGGCAGGAAGACTTCTATGAGTTCAAGTCCAGTCTGGTCTACAGAGTGAGTTCTAGGTCAGCCAGAGACTACATAGTGAGACCCTATCTCAAAAACAAACAAAAGAACTAGTTCTTGCCTTTTAATGGATTAAAATATAGGTTGGAATTGTCTCTGCTGTGCCAGTGATTTAATTCCAAGCAACTTTGTGAAGACACCAGACCTCAGAAGTCACTTGCTCAGGCTGGCACAGTGGCCTAGGATAGAGACCACAACTTTCTACACAGACTTGGTCACAAGCTCCCTCCCAGAGCCACTTCTCTTTCCAAGACTTATGTCTAAGGTCTTTCCATCTCTCTACCCATAAAGGTCACCAGGTCCCTTACTGGAGAAATGATGGGAAAGAGTCACTGGCAAAACTATGGGAATGTGGAAAGAGAAAGGAGCCTGTCACCCCAGAGTCTGGGTAGAGCCTGTTACCAACCATAGACCCTCAGTTTTCTACTCTCTCAGGAAAGGCCCCATGTACAGTAAGAAGCCATTCTAACCAACTTGTAAAATTGTGGTCTCTTGGTGTTTCCTTATCTCATTGTAATCCCACCCAAGACACCTCTGCAGTTACTTTATATCTGTTACAGACAGGGGACTCAGACTAGCTCAGTGTCAATAATCCAACACAATTAACATTTTCTTAAGGCTTCTCCCTTCCCAGTGGAAGACCTGTAATTTTCTAGGAATCTCACCAGAAACCCCCTTTACAGTAAAATAATACATTCTAACCCCCTTGTGCCACTCTAGTGGCTTCTGGTTTTATTTTATCAGATTGTAATCCTATCCAAGACCCCTCTAGAGCCATTTCTAGACCACCCTGAAATCTCATTTATTGAAGAAAAGCAGTTCCTTAGCAACCGTTTGAGAGCTGCCAACATGTTCTATATGTCTAAGACTTAGACATTTCATTGGGACTCTCTGAGAAGATGGTACCCATGCACTCAGGTAGTTCTTATTTTTCTTTTAATAAAAGTGTCTTTTAATGAACTCCACCTCTGCATCATACTAGCTTCTCCTGGAGTTCTTTTCTGTGTCAGAGCCAAGTATCCAATTTGAACTAAAGATTAAGGGAACTCAGGTACTTGTGGTTGATAATGGGGCTGTGAATCCTTCCCTGCAGCTGCTGTCATGGGCACTAGATTTTAGAATTGGGGGCACTGGCTGCTCTTCCAGAGGTCCTGGGTTCCATTCCCAGAGCTAACATGGTGGCTCACAATGGTCTGTAACCCAGTCCAAGGGATGTCCTATTCTAGCTTCCATGGGTACCAGGCACACACATGGTGCACAGACATATATGCACACAAAATGTCCATGACACATAAGAGAAAATAAAAGCAATAATAGTAATAGTAATAATTGTCTTTGTGCCTGGCTGTGGTGGTGCACGGCTCTAATCCCAGCACTCTGGAGGCAGAGGCTGGTGGATCTCTGTGAGTTCTAGGACAGCTGGTCTATAGAGTGAGTTCCAGAACAGCCAGGGTTGTTAAAAAAAAAGAAACCCCTCTCAGAGAAGAAAAACAAAACAAAAAAAACAAAACAAAACAAAAAAAAAATCTTTATCCTGTGCATGTAAGGTCCTGATCTTTCTGCTCCAAATGAAGTTCCCTGGGAACTTTTGAGTTGTCTTCCCACTTGTGGCAAAGGGGCTAGCTAGCATCTCTCAGAGAAAGGCTCTTTTTCCTCCTAATATAGGGACCTCTGAAGGAGAGGGCTGGGGTGGAAATGTTAGGGACCTGGGACTGTCTCTAGCATGTGGACTATACTGACGATTTTTTTAAAAATATATTTTTTACATTCCAATCCCAGTTCCCCCTTCCTCCTCTCCTCCTACTCCCCCAACCCCCCCCCCCACACCTTCCATCTGTTTCTTGGAGAGGATTATACTCCACTTTTAAATTGTGGAAGAGAGAAAGCATTTATTGGTAAATGAGCATTTATTGAGTGTTTACTATCTGCAGAACTGTGTTAAACAAGGCCCATAGGGAAAGATGGTAAGAGAACACCCCCAAAGAGGTTACACTGTGCCTGAGAGGCATGGCATACATACAGGACCACAGCTTAAAGATGCAAACATCAAAGCAACTTTGGGAGAGACGAAGTCATTCTGCACAGTGGGAAGGAAGGACGCCACCGGGACAGGTGGTCAGCCACTTCCTCCTGTCAGCCTGGAGCTGTGTGTGCCCCTAGCTTGGGGACCTGGAAGTCTCTCTACCTGCCTCCATGCTGCTCTGTGTCTGTCTAGTTTGGGTGTGTCTGACCTCCACCTTCTTGACTGGGTGCTCTTCAAGGGCAGGAACCATCCGTAAGTCCTTGTGTCATTTCCTTCTGACCCAGTCACCACCCTCTTCAAGGCTCTCTGTCCACTCACTACATGATAGAGACTTGAACTGGGCTGAACCAGCCCAGCTGAATATTCTGGTATTAGCTGTGTGTCTTTGGGCCAGCCTTTAGGGCCCCAGTTTCAGAATCAAATGGAAAAATAAGCTTTTGTTCTGCCTATCTCATAAAGTTGGAATGTTAAAGGAATTTGTTTGGAAATAGTAAAGCTTTACATGGCTGGGGACTATGAACTTTCCTGAACCCAACTGGAGGTTTCCATTAGATGGATTAATACATAGGAAGTGGCCAGGACACAGAGAAGAGCATCACTCATATTCCTTGGTTCTCCCACCCTGTAGGATCCTGCTTTGACCTCAGTCTTGGGTAGGTTGTACTCAGGAAGTGGTTCAGAGACATTCTTGATCTTCCAGAGGGGTGTGCTGGGGGTAAAGTGGAGTGGGGATGTAATGAATGCCTTGATGCTTTGACTTTCAGTGCTGAGACTGGGGCAGCCCCAGAGGCCACTGATGACATTCTCCTGGCAGCCATGAGGTCAAGCCACTGTCACAGTGTTGGAGTGACAGCGGGAGCATATGTCCACGGTGCATATGTCCAGTGTGCCTTTTCTTGCCTCCAGTTTGGTCGAGGACACAGAAAGGTCACAGTTACAGAGATTTTACTTAGACCTGGTCACATGAATGGGTGCTGGGGTGTGAGGCTGGTGTTGGGGACAGATGCAATCAGAAGCCTTGAGAGTGTGGGGGTGACAGAAAGCTGGAGAAGGAACTCAAGCTGTGAGCCTTAGATTAGTTAGCAGCTGCAGAGAAAGGGTGGAGGTGGAAGATGGCCAGCTGGCAGGCAACAAGGACCAGGAAGGAGCAGCACCAAACCTTCTGCCTGGACCTTGCCCTCCCCCGCCGCCCCCCGGAGTTCTGGTTTGCTTTAACTACCGATTACGAGAAGTACAGAAAGTTAGAGGTCTGGCCTGTTCTGCCTTCCCCTACTGGAGAAGGCAGCAATAATGAAAACAAGCCTAATGATGTGTGATAATGGCGGAAAGAACCACGGTTCCCACAGCAACTTTATATGCATCATCTCACTGAATCCCAGTTTAATCTCACTTGAGAACCATTGCCCTGCACTGAGCATTTACATGTTTGGTTTCCAGATTCTGACACAACTCTGCCTGGTCAAGTCACTTCCTTTCTCTGATTCTGAGGAGCAGCTGGCTACAAGGTCCACACACAGTCAGGCAATGGTAGGTGGAAGAGGGTGGATCCCTGAGCAGGGAGGAAGGAAAGGTAAGAGGAAACAGAGATTCCTGGGGAGGAGGGGCAACAAGTAAAGTGTTGGAGGGGTGTTGCTTGGTGCCTGTGGTTGCATGCCTGAGCACCTTGCCCTGCAGGCCATAGGCATGTGCCATGTGCTGGGCTCCAGGGCTCACTTGCGAAACTGAGTATCTTCTTTCAAACAGTGTCTAATTGCAAATCCCCCTCTCCCAGGACAAAAGCTGGGGCCCTACAGAGGGCTTTTGTTTTCTTTGCCCAAGTGGAAGACTAATCTTTGGGTATGTGTGGGCTCCCTGGGGAAGGAAGTCATCACACACTCATATGCCTGCCTCCCCTCTCTCCGCTGAAGAGCCCTCCCTCGGGGCAGAAATAAAGTCCTTGGATACACAATCCTCCCTTCTCCGGAGATCGTGTCTAGGGTACTTGTTCTCTAGTTGACATGTCCCTTCCAGCAATGAGTCCTGGCAAGTCTTTGGCCGAGGACTGCTGTTTGGTCGAGTCTTCCCAGAGGGTCGAGGAAAAGGTTGGAAACTAGCCCCCCATCCCTTCCCGGGCCTGGCTTGCTAGGAGGACTCGTCCATAGCAGAGGAAGTGGATTTATTTCAGGTGCAGGAGACGTTCCTGGGCCCTGTATCATCATGGACAAATCAGGGTCACACTCAGGAACACGCGGACCCTGCATGTCAGGAGAGAAGCACGCGGAAGTGGACGATTTACACCCGAAAAAAACCAGATACCAACCACAGACCCTCAAGGTGGTCTCTATACACGTTTGCCCCTGCACCAGGTGCGGGCTCTCCAGAGCTCTCCCGCCCGCCCGCCTGCTCCTCCCCGCCCAACGGCTTGGTTCCCCAAGTTCCTGGATCCCTGCAAAGGACGAGCCAGATGGTCGCTGCGGCCAAGACTACCGGGTGCAGATGCGGCCAGGTTCTCGGGCGAGCCCCTTCTTGAGGTTCACGGCGCTTGCGGGCGCTGGAGCAGCCACTCTGCACTGCCGGCCGACGGCGGGCCAGGGGAAGGGAGGGGGCGAGCCGTCAGCGGGCTGCGCTGTGGTGTGAGCTGCGGGACAGGGCGGGGCGGGGCGCGGCGGGGCGCTCAGGCCTTGCTCCCGCGCGGCAGGCTCTGCGGTGAGTGGAGCTCCACCGACTGCCGCCGCCGGACCTCGCGCTCTTCCCAGTCGGTGTCGGGCTCTAGGCCCTTGAGCACCGCCAGCCGCTCCTGCAGGCTCTTTGTCGAAGGGAACAGCAGGTAGTTGTAGAGGAGAGAGCCGATGATAGCGCCCACCAGGGGTCCGATCCAGAAGACCTGGGGGTGGGGGCGGAGCGGGGGAGAGGTTCTGGCACAGGCTCACCCAGCACGTGGAACCCCCTGGGAAGGCTGCTGTCCCTGCTGTGTAGGAACCGCCCTCAGGTGCCATGGTCAGCATGAGCTGCCAAGGGCGACTTGTTTGTGTGTGTGTGTGTGTGTGTCGGGGTGGGGGGCAAGTGGGTTGCCGGCCTGGCTGTGAAGTCCGGCTGTGAAGTCCACAGCTTGTATGAACTTGGAGAACTCACTTTCATTGAGCCTGTTTCTTTTTCTGACAAAAATACTCACTTCCTAGAGATGGGACGATTAAAAAAGCCATGGTTTGCAAAGCTCTGAGAACAGAGCCTGGCACATACCAAGCACTACTATTAAGCCTGAATATCATTTTTTTGGATTCTGAATGCCAGACACTGTGTTATGGAGATACACTCACTTAAATTACCCAAGAAAGCCAGTAAAATAATGATTGTTACCTTCATCTATAGCAAGGGACAGAGGAAGGCAGAATCATTGGCACAGCTTGGAGGGTGGGACAAAGGTTTCCCAGGACCTCAGGACAAGTGGAGGGAGAGGCCTTGAGAAGTCCACCGCTCCACCCACCCCCAGTGTTTCTCTGGGAAGATATCTAGGGATGGGGAAGATGGGTTCGGCCATTACCCAGTGGTCATCAAACTTGCCAGTGACGACTGCTGGAGCCAGGGAGCGTGCTGGATTCATGGAGCAGCCTGTGAAGTAGATCTGTGGGAGGAAGTGGGGGAGGGGTGAGAGCATGGCAGGGCATCGCACTCTCATCCCCCTTCCAGTGGGGGAGGGGTGAGAGCATGGCAGGGCATCTCACACTCCTCCCCCTTCCAGTGGGGGAGGGGTGAGAGCATGGCAGGGCATCGCACCCTCATCCCCCTTCCAGTGGGGGAGGGGTGAGAGCATGGCAGGGCATCGCACACTCATCCCCCTTCCAGTGGGGGAGGGGTGAGAGCATGGCAGGGCATCGCACCCTCATCCCCCTTCCAGTGCTTGAGAAGCTTGGACTCAGCTTAAAGGGAACCTATGAAAGGTGGAGCAAGTGGCAGACACCTTCTGTCCCAGCACTTGGGAGGCAGAGGCAGACAGGACCTCTGTGAGGATAGCCTGGTCTACATACCAAGTTTAGGCCAGCCAAGGCTACACAGTGAGACCCAGTTTCAAAATCAAATAAACAAATAAATAAACAAAACAAAACAAAATCAGCCAACCAATCAAAAAACAAGGAACCTACAAGTGGACAATTCCTGGGCTTATATTACTTGAGACTGGAGGGCTATCTGCCCTCTAGGGGTGTGTGGGAGCCACAACTTCAGATTATGTGTCTTCCTTGGACATCCTGTGTGACTGACCGTCTGGGGAAGTTATATGTGTGTATACGGTGTCCCATGTATATTTTGGTTCCTGTAGGGTGGCTGGAACCTGTGGCTATGACTTACCCCAAGGAGGTGGCCCAGAGTAACAGAGAAACCGATGGAGAGAGCAGGGCTGCCCAGGTTGTCACTGCGGCGATCATCAGTGGAGGCAAAGATGCAGAGTACCAGCTGCAGGGTCAAGAAGAGCTCCACCGTCACAGCCTGGCCCGCTGTTGCGTTGTTGTGGAGCTGGGGGGAGGGAGCGAAAGGGGGGTGAGCCGAGGGAAGCTCGTCAGACTACCTGCCCCCTTTCTGTTTACTTGCTTAGGGCTCCATGGAGGCCTCCAGGCTGAGAACTAGAAAACTGCCCCTTGTAAACACTGCCCTTCTGGATCCTGGTCCCAAGGCAGGGGATGGATCCCAGACAGCCTGAGGGTGGGAGGTGGATCCCACAACCTAACAGATGAGTAGGCTGAGGTCTCTGATTGCAGCAGGAAGCATTGGGACTGATAACAGCTTTATCTCTTGGTCACACAGATGCAAGGAGATGCAGAAGGGTTCAGTCGTCCTTGGTCCCACGGTCAAGGAACTTATAGTCTGGTGGTCACCTCTGCCTTCCCCTCTCCCCATTGCATTCAGACTTCTTTCCCCAGAGCTGCTCCCTGTACACCCTGTGGAGGCTGGGGGTTGGTTAGAATACTGAAGGTAAAGCTTCCATACCATACAGGGAGCCCACGGTCACTGCAGCCCCTGCTGTGGGGAAGAAGAGAACGTGGGGCTGAGCTAAGAGGCCCTTTCATAACCTGGCCACACCCAGCACTGGATTTCTCTCTGAGTTTTGTCTTCTGTACCCCACACCCTGCCCTCTGGGCACAGGATGGGCTGATGACAATTCATAACCCCCACACTCTTTCTCTAGGTCCTGAGCTCCTAGCCTGGCACTTCGAGGTCTTTCTAGGGTCTAGCCTCAACCTCTACCATACTACAACCTGATAGAGACAGGAAGAAAGACTTGGGACTGCCACTTTGGAGGCTTTGGGGACTATTTGTTTTGGTCTCCGTGGCTGATAAAACCAACCCTGAAGGATTGAGGATGACAAGGATGAGCCTCCAATCCACTCTTGTTGGCGATGGCTGTTCAAGGGAGATAGTCGAGATGTGTGTTTGATGTCACATAGCCAGGGCTGTTTCTAGATGACACTGTTTACTGCCTCCATGATTCGGGCCCACTGATTGCTGGGTTACAACTATAGGGTGGGGAGACTCACAGGACTGCACCAAGGTAAGATAGGACGTGGCCTGGCATAGGGCAGATCTGCCTCGGTAGCAACTTCCTGGGGTCCAAGCAGACTCTTGGTGGCATCTGCAGAGAACACTGAGCAGCTTGGGTGGTCACTGGTCTCTCTGTCTCACTAGCCTCAGGGCAAACAGGCACTATGCTGCCTTATTCTAGCCACCCGAGATGGCTCAGTGCAGAGGAACAGCCTTTGATGGTGACTGCTGGGCTGGCTGGGAAATGTCGCAGGACAAGGGCTGGCCACTCCCCAGGCTTTAGCTTTCTCAGTGCCTTCCTGCTAGAGAAAGAAAGCCTGAGGTATTGTCTCTGGAACGTCTCCTTAGACTCTAGCTGGACGTCTCCCTGCTGCCAAACAAACTCATTTAATTTTGAATGGAAATAGACACACTCCATCCCTCACCTCAGCCCCTTTACCTTTTTGGCGCTACGCGCCCAGCCTCACTGCATTTTCCAATTTGAAGAAGAGTGTTCCCTAACTGGCGGACCTCTGTCCCTCTCATGAGGAAAGCCATTTCTTCAGATGAGGAGAGTGTGTGCAGGGCTGAGGGACCGAGTAAGTGGAGAATGAGGAAGAAAGAGCAGGAGAGGTTCTTGCCTTCTTGGTTTGGGGTAGGGGAACAGAGTGCTAAAGGGATCCCTAGATTCCTAGACCTGCACAGATTGGAGAGGAGAGGGACCATGGTTCCATCATCTCCTCTCAAAGTGCATGAATAAACCACTGACGGGCAAGCTCCCTGCAGGCTTCTGTTGGGTTCTGGTAATTCTGCCATGAACAAACTCTAGAGCATTCCATCTACTGATTCCCTTCCCAAATCTGTTTCTTCATTTGTCAGACAAAGCTCAGGTAGTATTTAAGACAATTGGTTGAGGGAGAGATTACAGGTTTTGAGGTTTAGAGCACCCCTTCCCCAACTCTGCCCCTCTCTTACAGAGTTGTCAGTGTTTGGCTCAAGAGGAACGCTGTCTAGTCCTCACCCCAACAGCGCTATGGAGATACCTTATCCCTTCCCAAAGTTCCTGAGGCGCCACAGTCTGGTTTGTCTGCACTAGGGTGCTGTGTCCAGCTGCACTCTACCCTAGTCCTCCTCTGGAACCCAACAGAAACAAGTCTGCACTCCCTTGGTGGTAGTGGGTGGAAGGGCCCACAGCTGGCTCCCAGGATTCTGCTCCTGGTGACTTGGTGGCTCTCTCCCCAGCTCTCCTGGGGTAGCTGCCAGTGTTCCTAGCCTTAGGCTCTCTGTGTCCCTACTCAGCCTGTCCCACACATCTTATCGGGCACAAGGGTTGTCAGCATCTGCCCCTCCTAGAAGGGATAAAGCTGGGCTACTCACAGCATTGACAGCCAGGTCCCCGCGGATTTCTATTGGAGTAATCTCATGGAGTATGGCTGCCCCGGCTACAGCCCCCAGCAGCTGGGCAGCCACATAGAAGGCAGCTCGGAGGAAGGAGACATGGCAGCCCACTAAGCACGCCACAGTCACAGCAGGGTTGATGTGGGCCCCGCTGACATGGCCCAGAGTCTGCACCAGGGTGCCGATGCCCAGGCCAAAGGCCACAGCAATCTGGAGCACAGAGGGTGGGGAGCTGGCCCACTGCAGGGCTGAGCCAAGGCCAAAGAAAACGAAAAGGAGTGTGGCCAGGAATTCCGCCAGCACGGCCCTGGAGAAGGCTATGGATCGAAGTTCCCACATGCTGCTCAGCCTTCTGAACCCTGACCAGTGGTCTGGGCCACAGGGGTGGCTTTTCCTCACTCCCTCTCTCTTCCTGGTCTCTCTTTCTCTGGGACTCTGCGGAGGCTGGGCCTTGGGCACTTATAGGGCCTTTCTATCCTGGATTTGGGCACGTGGGGTAGAGGAGGTGTGTCTACCAATGCCATGCTCTCCCATGGTGGCCTTGCCCCCAACCTGCCCCTGCCCACCCAATGGCCTATCATGCCATCTTGGCTTTCACAGCTGACTAATGTTCTCCTCATTAATGAACTCTAGATAAGGATTGACGTCCCCTGTTTTCCGTGTTTGTTCCCTCTGTTACCCCAGGGAGCTGCCCCAGGGCCTCCCCAGCCCCCACAGTGACCACCACCAGCACCAGCTCCTGCAGAGCAGACTGTGTCCACTGACCTCATTGACTAAGAGGTTGGTCAAGAAAGGGGCAATGCCTCATCCCAAACCGACTACCCCTCCACTGACTGGATGGTCTTCTTTCTGGAAGGGGATGGAAAACAACCAGATGACCTGAGACAAATTTCCAAGGCAAAAATTCTTGGGCTTGCTTCCCTGCAGTTAATCACCCATAAGTCATTAGCTTCACCTTCACCCAGGAGCCCCAGCCAGAGAGCAACTCCCATTGCCTTGAGCCTAGGGTGGCTCAGTGGCCCTGGGATCCTGGTCCTGCATGATGGAGTCACCTAGGGTCAACTTAGGAAAATGAGGGCTTTGAGCTCCTGTGGCACAGCTATCCCTATAGGCTCAAGAAAGCCATGGCGTCTGCTAGTGACTCTCCTGGTCTTAGTGTCACTCATCTTGGTCAGTGTTCAGGTGAGGCCACCCTGCTGTCACAGCTGTTGTGGCTGTTGCTGCCTAGAAGATGGGCCTACCCCATGCCTCTTTCTTCATTGGGGATCCAAAGGTGGGTGAGCTCAACACATCCAGATAATGGACTTCGAGTCCTCATGGCCAGCAATAGTTCTAGGAGCAAACATTTGGGAGGGACTGATGAGTGTAGAGACACTAATGCCATGGTTAAAGAGGGAAACTGAGGCCAAGGGAGGGTTGGTTACTTATCCAAGGTATGCCAGAAGATTGGCAGCTGAGCTGGGACTAGAATCTAGTGTGGAATAGTATCCATGATACCCTCCTCTGCTGAGGCTTGCTCTGAGCCTCTCCTCACCTGGATGATGGTGGCAATGATATTCCCTAGACATTTGTTTTCAGAACGTAGCAAGATGCACAACAAACAGGCACCCACAAATCACACACACACACACACACACACACACACACACACACACACTATTTGTAACTCCTGCTGTTATGAAGATGAGAATGAGGAGGAAGAACCCTCAAACGGCCTGAACACAGGCAAGCTCCAGGACAGTAGGCAGCCTCACAGGGCTTGGGTGTCAGGTACTACTTGCACAATGCACAAGGTGCCTCATCCCCAGATGCCCTCTGCTCAGGATTCTGCCCTCTAATTCAGGCTCTCCAGAGAAAGTCAGAGTCCTGTTCTGAGAAGGGTACCTGTGACTCAGTTTCCTTCTTTAACTAACTAGCATACCCAGACATGGCACACACAAAGGGTGGAGACCCCCACACAGGGAATGTATCTTGACTGCTTCTTGATGATATATACCATACTGTATGTACTATCTCCTTCAATCCCTTCAGTCCCTGTCCCTGGAAAACCCTAGGCCTTGTATGAGCTGAAGCTTCAACAGTGTCTCCAAACCCACCCTTGACCATTGCCTGTGTGACCTTCGATGAGCCACACACCCTTTCTGGTCTATACCTTACTTATGATCATGATCATTCCTTGGTTCTGAGCCTAGATGGCACTGCCTATGACCAGCCTAGTGTCCCCATAGACCTGGAGTAGATGTTTATCATGTCATCTGCTTCTGTGTGGCCCACGAAACCTTTGGGCAGTTTTTGATACAAATCCATATTGCCACGGCATGAGGGGTGTGGCTCAGTGGAAGAGCAGCTGCCTAACACACACGAAGCCCTGGGCTCCATTGCCAGGAGGGAAACAACAAAACAAGCAAAACACCAAGGGTGGGATCATACAGACCACGGTACCTGTGGGATTGCGACTTCCAGGAGCTGTCAGCATACTCCGATCTGGCCTCAAGCCAGGCAGGAGGGGGAGGGCAGCCGTAACTGCTTGGCTCATGCCGGGGCACTGCACTGGCCTGCCACCCTTCCAGGAGGGGAGAAGCTTTCCTATCCCAGGCCCAGCTTCCCACGCGGCTTTGGGTGCAGTAGTACTCCCTGCGGCCACAGCGTTTGCTTTTGTTTCTGCCTGCCTCCTCCAGCTTCCCAAATTGTGGGCCACTGAACCCAATGAGGGGATCATGACAAATTTGAATGTGTAGCAACCAAAAACTTAATTCGAAATCAAAGATCCAACGGAGTCTGGAGCTCAACGGAGTTTTCAGCAGCTCATTGTGCCGTTCTGTGCGACCTCACTGCGGGCTTGGTTCTGGACACAGCTCACACACTTTGTGGACACACATGGCACACATCCCAAGGCCAGCAAAACCTCGCTTTAAATGCCTTGGCGAGAGCTGAGATTGTTGTGTTGTAAATTACAGGGGTTTTCCCTGTACGTATTCAGTTTTCTGTGCTTATAGAAATGTAATGGTTTACTTATGAAAAACAAAGACTTTAACATTTTTCTACCGTCATTTTTCATCATGTATCATGTATTTGAATACCTGTAAATATCATGTTAGGATGTTTGATTTTCATAAGATTGCTGTTTGGGGGATAAGGAGATGGCTCAGTGGGTAAACTGTTCGAATCACCAGTATTCTCATCACAACCAGAAGAGCATGGTGGCCTGCTTGTAATCCCAGTACTGGGAGACACAGGAAGGGCTCCTCAGGCAAACTGACTAGCTAGAGAAGCCAAACTGGTGAGCTCTGGGTTCAGGGAAAGATCTACCTAATAAAGAAAGTGGAGAGAAATCAAGAAGGTATCCATTGTCGGTCTCACACACAATGGCTGTGTGCACACACACGTGCACGCGCACACACACACACACACACACACACACACACACACAATCTGTAATTCCAGCCCTTGGAAGGCTGAGGTAGGAGAATCAGGAGTTCAAGACCAGCCTGGACTAAAGATCAAGTTCAAAGCTGGGCTACGTGAGACTGTTCCAAAAGAAACCACAAATAAATAAATAAAAGATAATAAAAGTCGCTGTGTGTGTTGCTGACTTCCATAAAACATTGCTCAGTGGGTTTCGGCTTGCTATGAGGACAGAATTTCTAATGATCTCTGAACTTACTCTAAAGTCACTTGTTTTATCCCTCATACTTATATGAGCCCATGTCCTCATATTGACCTCTATAAAATCTAAAAAGTAGCTAAATCTACAAAATGTTGAAGATGTACATTTTGCAGTATCAAATTTTTTGTTTGTTTCCAGACAGGGTTTCTCTGTGTTGCTTTGGAGCCTGTCCTGGAACTCGTGTAGACCAGGCTGACCTTGAACTCACAGATTGGCCTGCCTCTGCCTCCTGAGTACTGTGATTAAAGGTGTGTGCCACCAACGGCTGGTAGTATCAAATATTTAACCAAAATTTAATTCTGTATGTAAAATAAGTGAGTACATTTATTTTAGTATGCAAATTTGCTTCTTTCTTTAATAAATGGTAAAATTGCCGGTCAGTAGATGCTTTCACCTTTAATCCCAGCACTCATTAGGCAGCAGGCAGATCTCTGTGAGTTTGAGGCCAGCCTGGTCTACAGGGCAAGTTCCAGGACTATGAAGGGAAACCATATCTCAAAAAAAAAAAAAAACCCAAAACAAACAAAAAACAAGAAAATTACATATATATCAAAGAATTTTGAAAGTAAATTTCTTTATGATTTCTTATTATTAAGTATTTGAGTTGTGTGCCAATTTTACATACCTACATACCTGGGGTTGTAGAAAATTTTCTCAGACAAAAAGGGGTTGTGAATGGGAGATACTTATGAAGGCTTGATCTGTCTGTCCAAACATCTGTTAGTATTTAGGCATTTTACTGGCCTGCCTTTGGAGTTCTGACAAGAGACATCCTCAGCTGATGCCACTAAGAGCACCTGTGTGTATTCACTGTGTTCCCTCTTTAAAAAGGCCCTGCCCACCTCTCATCACTCTCTATTTCTGTCTCTCCCGCTCTCCCTCTTTCCCTCTCTGCCTCTCTGCCTCCCTTTCCTTTCTCCTCTCTCCCGATGCTCCTGTCCTAGGAGGTCGGTCTCCCCCCTCCCCTTTCCCCTTTTTACGATCCTATTCCTTTAGTAATAATAATAATGATAATGATAATAGTAATAGTAATAATAATAATAAAACATTGAACTCTGTCACATGGCGTCTTTCTTCCTCAAGCAGCTTTTTAAAAATTACACCACCACCCATTGAAGGGGAGGTCTAAGGGGCCAGCTGCGATTCACTGCTAAGTAGAGTTTGGGCAATGTGCTGTCTTGGATGAGTGGGAATGTCAAGCCCCACGTAACACAACAATGGAAAAGGCTACCCTTAAGTCCACAGAACTAAAAATGCTTTCTCACCAGCCCACACCTTTTTCAGTTACTGAAAGATCCTTATATCTTTCCTTAGAAATTGATTCTTCAAGCCAGAATCACTGTGCATAGCAAAGAAGTCCCAAGATGTCCTCTCATTCAAGTTCAGCCTTCCTTTGGTTGGGAGAAGACTCTCTTCTTCCTTTTCATCCTCCCCTCTTCTGCCTCTTGCTCTTGAAGTCTCACTTTTGTATCCAAGGCTGGCAGCCAAGTCCGATCCTCCTGCCCAAGCCCACTCCCCACTCCACCCCCAAACACACACAGTAGCTTCTATGCCACCAGAAGCAATGATGTGTCATACCATTTCTTTAAAGGAATTTAAAACATTTACTTATTGAGTGTGTCAGGAGTTGCACATGTACTGGGGTGTGCATATGGAAGTCAGAGGATAGCCTGTGGGGGTAGGTTCATGGTCTGCCTGACTGCTGCTCCCTTCAGTATTCTTTCCGGCCCTCAGACACCGCTGTGGACGTTGTGGAAGGGGTTGTCTCATCTCGTGTGTAAGCAGTGACACCTTTTGTTCT